CCTTGAGTGGCCCTGACTGTTATAAAGAGACAGCCCGCTGTGAACCAGCTGAGCAGCGAACAGTGGAGAGGCTAACAGAGGGAGTTTGCCTGGGGAGAGCCTACTGAGGCTTCCATCTTGCAGGCTTCTCTGAGAAGTTACTGCAACATCTGAGGAAGCTCGTAGAAGGACAGTAATATGGATGGGGGGTGTTCAGCTGTTGTGACCTGCACTGGATGTGCCATGTTTGTCTTTCTTCCACAGGACAGAAGCGACTTTATCTGCACAAAGCAGACTTTATCTGGTCTCCACATTGGAGGAGAAGGTTCAAGGTCTGGAGCAACAGGTATCGACCCTGCGTTGCATAAGAGAAACTGAAGATTTCCTGGACAGACGTCAGGATATGCTTCTACGGGCACAATGTTCTGAAGATTCAGAGCAGGCTGCACATCGGGGACAGGAGGACGGTGAAGAAATTTGGCATCATGTGACCTCCAGAAGAAAAAAGGGGAATGTCCATGTACCAGCAACGCCAATACAGGTAAGCAACTGTTTTCATGTTCTCTCCACAGGTCCTAAGGCGGAGAGTGGACCAGATGATACGTCTGAGGGAAGGGAGCAGAAGGAGACTCCGCCGACTGGAAGGAATGAGATGCACTGTCCTAAAGATGGGGGTTCTATGACCCCCATTCCCAAGAGAAGGAAGCGGGTGGTGGTGGTCCGGGACTCTCTCCTCAGGGGGACTGAGTCATCTATCTGCCGCCCTGACCGGGAAAACCGAGAAGTCTGCTGCTTACCAGGAGCTAGGATTCACGATGTGACGGAGAGACTGCAAGACTCATCAAGCCCTTGGATTGCTACCCCTTCCTGCTTCTCCACGTGGGCACCAATGATACTGCCAAGAATGACCTTGAGCGGATCACTGCAGACTACGTGGCTCTGGAAAGAAGGATAAAGGAGTTTGAGGCGCAAGTGGTCTTCTCGTCCATCCTCCCCGTGGAAGGAAAAGGCCTAGGTAGAGACCGTCGAATCATGGAAGCCAATGAATGGCTACGCAGGTGGTGTCGGAGAGAAGGCTTTGGATTCTTTGACCATGGGATGGTGTTTCAAGAAGGAGGAGTGCTAGGCAGAGACGGGCTCCACCTAACGAAGAGAGGGAAGAGCATCTTCGCAAGCAGGCTGGCTAACCTAGTGAGGAGGGCGTTAAACTAGGTGTGACAAAGTGGGACTGTTCTTAATGTTTCCTCTGAATACTGTAGGGGTGCCTCAATTTCCCCTAGGCATTTCTTAAGTCTCTAGGTGGTGGGATAAGGGGGTGTAATTGTTGCAGAGCAAAGGGCCAGTGTACATAAATGGCTGACACTCTGTCTCCTGGCGACTGATGGCCTGGGCTCTTCCCCCCTGCAAGGAGAGAGCTAAAGGGGTGGAGAACAAAGGAATCAGGTGACCTCTTGGCCCAGAAAAGGGACAAAGCCCAGAGGAGGAGGGGCTGGAGAGAGTTTCAGTTTGGGGCTGGCTGAGGACGAAGGAGTGAAGTGCAGACGTGGTTGTCTGGCTCACTGCCCCCCAAAATGGACCCGGCTGAGGGATCCTGTACTCTGTACCTACAAGCTCTGTTTTGGACAGTGTTCCTGTCGTCTAATAAACCTCTGTTTTACTGGCTGGCTAAGACTGACTGTGAAGTTGGCGGCAGGACCCTCTGGCTTCCCCAGGACCCCACCTGCGTGGACTTGCTGTGGGAAGCGCATGGAGGGACGGGGGATGCTGAATGCTCCGAGGTCAGACCCAGGAAGGTGGAAGCCGTGTAAGCTTTTTGCCTGGAGACAGGCTGCTCACAGAGAGGAGGCTCCCCCAGAGATCTGACTGGCTTCATAGGGAGCAGTTCCAGAGCATCGCCCGGGGACTCCGTGACACTAGGTTCACCGGGGGAAGGAGACCAAAGCCCTTAGGTAAGTGGGGAAGTGAGATACCAGGGGGAAGCAAGAGCAGAAGAGCGCGAGAGGGGAGGGCTCCTGCCTCATACTGAGAAAGCGGGACAATCAGCGAGTTATCTCAAGTGCCTATACACAAATGCAAGAAGCCAGGGAAACAAGCAGGGAGAACTGGAAGTTCTGCCACAGTCAAGGAATTAGGATGTGATTGGAATAACAGAGACTTGGTGGGATAACTCACATGACTGGAGTACTGTCATGGATGGATATAAGCTGTTCAGGAAAAAGGACCTTGGGGTTACAGTGGACGAGAAGCTGGATATGAGTAAACAGTGTGCCCTTGTTGCCAAGAAGGCCAATGGCATTTTGGGCTGTATAAGTAGGGGCATTGCCAGCAGATCGAGGGACGTGATCGTCCCGCTCTATTTGACATTGGTGAGGCCTCATCTGGAGTACTGTGTCCAGTTTTGGGCCCCACATTACAAGAAGGGTGTGGAAAAATTGGAAAGAGTCCAGCGGAGGGCAACAAAAATGATGAGGGGACTGGGACTCATGAGTTATGAGGAGAGGCTGAGGGAACTGGGATTGTTTAGTCTATGGAAGAGAAGAATGAGGGGGGATTTGATAGCTGCTTTCAACTACCTGAGAGGGGGTTCCAAAGAGGATGGCTCTAGACTGTTCTCAGGGTAGCTGATGACAGGACAAGGAGTAATGGTCTCAAGTTGCAGTGGGGGAGGGTTAGGTTGGATGTTAGGAAAAACTTTTTCACTAGGAGAGTGATGAAGCACTGGAATGGGTTACCTAGGGAGGTGGTGGACTCTCCTTCCTTAGAAGTTTTTAAGGTCAGGCTTGACAAAGCCCTGGCTGGGATGATTTAGTTGGGGTTGGTCCTGCTTTGAGCAGGGGGTTGGACTAGATGACCTCCTGAGGTCCCTCCCAACCCTGATATTCTATGATTCTATGAATGGCAGTGACCTGCACTGGGACTCAGAGATACCCCTGTAAGCCAGATGCATGGCCCCGGGTATGTAAGTGCCCGGCATGTCGAGAGCTGGGAACGTATCCCAAGGATCTAGGCTGGGCTTGACGGAGCTCAGGGTTACCATCCACCCCTGAAGTGCTGGGTGAATTTGCTGGGACATGGTAAGTCCAGGATCAAGTGCACATGCCCAAAAGGAAAGGCGTGGGGGAACAATGGGAGGAGAAACCCTGGCCTCCAAAAGGCAAGACCCCTCCTTGATTGCCCCTGACGGAGCACAAAGGCCCCCTCTTCTCAGCAATGGTTCATGAAAAGCGTCCCTGAAGGTGGGTGGAAGAGACTGGAACTAGCGGGTAACCCCAGTGGCTACCTAGAGAACCCATGAGTGCCAGGTGTGTGCAGCCTGCTGGCAGAACAAGGCCAAGCCGCTGCCCGAGGTGGGCCGTGGGGGCCAAGGCTCTGGCAGGAGCAGAAGAATGAGGCTCCCAAGCTGCCCGTTGTCCTGGGTGTGGAATGGGCAGAGCTGGACGAGACCCCCCGCCACAGGAGCCCCAGTCACGGAATGGCTCCTCTCAGTAGCTGGGAGCGAGAGACCCAGGGAACACGGACTGGCTTCAGATCCCTTGAGGGTGTGCGGAGATCAGTGGGCAGGGAGGGCCAGGGTTGCAGGAAGAGGCGCGCTCTCAGTGCTGGGCTGGCTGGTTCTCGCTCCAATGCCCAGGGTCTAATGAACTGCTAGATGTGTGGCCAGGAAGGACTCTTCCCCCAGGTCAGATTGGCTGTGACCTCCTCGCCTCCCTCTGTGTGGGCGCAGATCACTCGCTGGGATTATCTGGGTCTCTCTCATTGCTCGAGCATTGGGCACCTCAGCCTCCCCAGTCTCTGCCTGTGGCAAATCAGTCGCCTCCCGAGTGTCTCAGTTGGGTTGTTGCGCTGAGGGGCAGGTGCTGGGCTAGACAGGAGGTCAGGCAGATGATCTGGTGGCACCTTCTGGCTGTCAAACTCTGTAACTTTAAGGTAGGGACCAAGACCATGAACTTGAATAGAAACTCACCCATTGAAAGATGCTAGCAGCTCATTCTAGCAGCTTTGTCCGTTATCTCCTCAGCACTTCAGCATGTTCAGTTCTGTGTTTAATCCTTGTTTTAACCACTTTAAGTGCTCCAGGAGTCAGGCTCCCAGGCCTGAGACTCAGGGACAGTGTTTGCACCTTCCAGGTCTCTGCTGTGGGAGCTGACTCGAATAAAAGACATGTACTCTTGGGCACACAAACATCCTGTTCTGGAGACTTGCTGCTCCCTACTGAGCAGCGTGTCCAGCACCTCCTCTCGTACACCTCCGTCTCGGACAGCGCCTCATCTTTACCTCCGGGGCCAGGGCAGCCATCTCCCAGCATCCTCTCTGGATTGAAGACTAATGGCTCGGGCAATGTCCTCCTCCTCCTTACCTGTGCCCTTCCCCCTAGGGCTCCCAGGAACCCACCCATTTTCTCACAGCCTTCCTGCTTCTCAAACACTCTGACAATATTTTATTTGTTTCCATGTCTTCTGATATTTGCTCTTTAAATTCCCTCTTGGGCTCTCCCTTTCCGCACACACCTTACGTGCCAGAGTTTGTTCCTTCTGCAGGCCACCCTTGGCTGCATGTCCCGGCCCAGAAAGGGGACAGTTTGCCTCGGGGGCCCTGGAACCTGGTCACATAGCCAGACTGGCTAAGCTCTAGCTGCCCTGCCGCCTTTGCAGTCTATAGCTTCCCTGCCTCCTGGGACTCTGTTATTGGTGCCTCCAGGCTCCCACGCTGAATCGAAAGATTGTACCACCCTCACTTTGGATTCCAGGATCTTCAGGGCTTGGAATCACCCTTCCCAGAGCCGAGTGTCACTTGGCTGGTGTTTGGTATCTTCCCTCTCGTCAGGGGCTCCACGCTGCTTGCCCTGCAGGCCCCTGACCCCCGGGCAGGCAGGCAGGGAGCTGTTCTGGGCTTTAGGCCAGCAGCCCCCCACCAGCTGCACTGGCTACTCTAGGGCTTGTGTTCAGAGACGGGGGCTAGGCAGACCCAGCCTTTACCTTTCAGTCAGCGGGGGCTGCTAGGGGTGGGGTCCCGTTTCTCACCTGGTTGATGTGCACAGAAGGAATAGAGGCCGCAGAGACAGACGAATGGCTAGGTGAATTGGGCAGGGACTTGCAGGGCCCTATGGAGAGCTGCTGTTTCTTCCGCAGGGCCACCACCTTCTGAGCCACTGAAAGAGAGAAGAGAGGGGCTAGAATCAGACGGCTTTCCCCACCCACTGCACCTCCAGAGCAGTTCAGAGCGACCCCGTGCCGGCTCCTGCCTCTGCCTGCAGCCAGTACCTGGGGCTTCAAACTGCCCCTCGCTGTGGCACCAGGGACTCCGGAAGCACATCCAACCTGCGGCTGCCTCGGGCTGCAGAGCACGGAGCCGCTAGTGGCTGCCCCAGGGGGGCGGCGCACCACTGCAGTTCGCCCTGCCCCCTGGGTACGTGTCCCACAGCTCCTGGCACTGCCCATAAAGCAGTGGCTTCAGGGGGATTCTGAAAGATCTTCTAGGAGCCCAGGTGAACTGCAGGAAAAAAGGTCAAATTCTCATCATTTCTTGGGACACACCCATTAGTCTCTGGGCACTGGCTCCGTATCCAAGCCCTGGTCTCAGAACAGGTCCAGGCTGAACCCTCGGCTGCTGGAGCTTTGGAAAGCAGTTGCAAGGCACCATGGGCCGCGGAGGGGCTCCCGCAGGAGCGGCAGGGGGTGCAGCCGCTCACAGAGCCAGCCACTGAACTGGGCATGCCCTGAACACACCAGGTAGCAGTGGCCTTCATCCCAGCTGCACCCGTGCTCTGCCTCAAATGCCACAGCTGCCCCCTTCCCAACCTCCACATCCTGTCCTCCAACCTGGGCACTAGGCACTTCCATCCTCCAGACTGGGAGCCCTCCACTCTAGACACTCCTCTGCCCATGTTTAAACAAAGACAAACACACCCCTCTCCGGTGACCCACTCGGTAAGCACCGGCTCAGAACCCAGAGCCCAGGCCTTCACAGACTCCTGCTGGAGCCCGGCCCGCCCCGGGGACAACTCGGCAGAACGCCTTGAAGGCGGACGCACATGGGAGCAGGCGCCCCGGTGCAGGGCCATGCAGAGAACGCCCTGCCAGAAGCTCTCCTACACTGATCACAACGGCCACAGTACAGCAACGGGAGAGGCGTCCCTCAGGCAGGCAGTGCAAAGCCACTAAGAGCTTCACGGGGTAAAGCCAGCCCGGTCAGTGCCACATGCTGCTGGCCCAGTGTGCCCTGTCACAAGCCTCCTGCTGAACTCTGTGCTGGTCCCAGAGAGCCTTAAGATGCCGCACCACATACAGCGTTGAACTGGGAGGAGTCTAACCCCCAGGTAGCCCCATGGGTCCCTGCGCCCCAACACCATGGCTGCACGCAGATGGGACAGGCTGACCTGCCTTCTCAGCCGGAGCTGGGAGTCCAGCCAAAACGCCCTCAATCGGAGTGGCCCATGTTACCTCTGCCATCTCTTCCGGCTGTCCCCCCCATAAACCAACAGCACCGCCCTCGTCTCTGGCATGAGCCTCAGCAAGCAGGCTCACACCCATGCTTTGTGCGCCGTGCAGTGCTGGGCCAGGCCACTGGCCATGCTGGCTGGGTCGGGTGATGTGGAGACACAGAGCTACGTGTAGTCACAATACCGCACGCACCACAGCCCCCTCACCCCAGCCTATCTGCCGGCACAAGAGGAAGGGGGGCAAGATGGACCCAGCAGCCCCTCGCCGTGCTGCCACGGCCATATAACCCCCCACTCAGGAGCAGCGGGGCACCCAGCCCTGGAGGCCAGCGCTCACCGGGTGGAGGGTGGCCGCAGACTGGTTGGACAGAGCTGTTGTCCGGCGGGCAGCAGAGGGTGCAGAACTTTTTCATCCCGCTGTGGGGAACAGGTCTCAACAATGCAGCCTCAGGCCGCGTGGGTGAGAGCGGCCATCGCCCTGCCCAGGGCCCACCCAATGTTCCTGGACAACTGGGCCCTGGCTTGCGGCCAGGACTCCACCGTGGGTGCGTTGTCATGTCTGTTTCCATGCAATACACAGAATGCTGCACGGGCATGCAGTGAAGGGGGCCAATGAACCGGAGAGTACCGAGGGACAGAAACAGCTGGAGCCCAAGTCTGCTTCCCCACCCCACCCCCAGCAAGCCCAGGAGCCCCCACGCCGGCCTTGGTGGCAGGTCCCTGCAGGCCCTCAAGAGCCAGCAGAGGAGGACACCTCGCGCCACACAACACTGAGCCCAGCCAACACTGACCCACTGGGGCACCAGGCACACGCGCTTGTGCCCGGGCTCCCAAGTCCACTCCCAAGCTACGCAGAGCGGTGGCGATTCTGCTCAATGCTGAGTAAGGGCAGAGTGGGCCGGCTTTTGACTGGGAGAGACCGAGAGGCCGTGGCAGTCCCTGATGGCCCACAGTGACAGCTCTGGGGCGGAGCCGCACCATGGCACGAGGCAGCAGCAAGACGGACAGTCACTATTCACAGCTGGACAGACAAGCTGCCGCTGAGCGCAGCCTGCATCAGAAGTGCTCCGTGAACACAGGTTCCCGGGGGGCGGGCGAGGGGGGGATGGCTCCTTGAGCTAATGCCGGCACTGCTCCTCCCTGTCGTTTCTTGTGGATGTATTGTTTCTTGACTTTAGCAAAGCTTTTGACACGGTCTCCCACAGTATTCTTGTCAGCAAGTTAAGGAAGTATGGGCTGGATGAATGCACTATAAGGTGGGTAGAAAGCTGGCTAGATCGTCGGGCTCAACGGGTAGTGATCAATGGCTCCATGTCTAGTTGGCAGCCGGTATCAAGGGTCGGTCCTGGGGCCGGTTTTGTTCAATATCTTCATAAATGATCTGGAGGATGGTGTGGATTGCACTCTCAGCAAATTTGCGGATGATACTAAACTGGGAGGAGTGGTAGATACGCTGGAGGGGAGGGATAGGATACAGAAGGACCTAGACAAATTGGAGGATTGGGCCAAAAGAAATCTGATGAGGTTCAATAAGGATAAGTGCAGGGTCCTGCACTTAGGACGGAAGAACCCAATGCACAACTACAGACTAGGGACCGAATGGCTAGGCAGCAGTTCTGCGGAAAAGGACCTAGGGGTGACAGTGGACGAGAAGCTGGATATGAGTCAGCAGTGTGCCCTTGTTGCCAAGAAGGCCAATGGCATTTTGGGATGTATAAGTAGGGGCATAGCGAGCGGATCGAGGGACGTGATCGTTCCCCTCTATTCGACATTGGTGAGGCCTCATCTGGAGTACTGTGTCCAGTTTTGGGCCCCACACTACAAGAAGGATGTGGATAAATTGGAGAGAGTCCAGCGAAGGGCAACAAAAATGATTAGGGGTCTGGAACACATGAGTTATGAGGAGAGGCTGAGGGAGCTGGGATTGTTTAGCCTGCAGAAGAGAAGAATGAGGGGGGGATTTGATAGCTGCTTTCAACTACCTGAAAGGGGGTTCCAAAGAGGATGGCTCTAGATTGTTCTCAATGGTAGCAGATGACAGAACGAGGAGCAATGGTCTCAAGTTGCAGTGGGGGAGGTTTAGATTGGATATTAGGAAAAACTTTTTCACTAAGAGGGTGGTGAAACACTGGAATGCGTTACCTAGGGAGGTGGTAGAATCTCCTTCCTTAGAGGTTTTTAAGGTCAGGCTTGACAAAGCCCTGGCTGGGATGATTTAACTGGGAATTGGTCCTGCTTCGAGCAGGGGGTTGGACTAGATGACCTTCAGGGGTCCCTTCCAACCCTGATATTCTATGATTCTATGATTCTTGCTCTGCTGGTGGGGGGCTTCCGCATCTGTATTAATTATTCCACTGCTTTTGTTTGCTTTGTGAGGGATTTTCCCCTGGAGCAGAGAACCCCGCGTGCGCTGATGCGGCAGGAATTATTAGCGACTGCAGCTACAGGCACCGTGAGGGACTTCGGGGGGTGAGTTTGCACTTTGGTCGGATGTCCATTTCCCTCCTGGTTGGTTTGGGTTGTGATGAGGGAGCACAGTCCGACTGATGTGCCACCTATCCGGAGACCTTCGGCAGAAATTCCTTCATTAAACGAGCATGTGCATGCAGGACAGCTGCGAGCTGCAACGCAGGGAACACGCAGCCCTGAACCAAGGGCAACACCTGATGTGTCTTGGGGAGTCTCGTTTTCTTTGCCACCATCTCATGAAGGAAGGATGCCTGGCAGGTGAAGGAGCTGCCCTGAATAACCAGGTTGCACTGGGCAGGTGGTGCAGAAACCAGCTGCTGTGTCTTGCATCCTCTCTCTGGAACCATGGCGCCCAGAGCTCATTCGCCTACTCTGGCATCAGCTCTTGTCCTGGCTCTCTCCGGCTCAAGATGGAGTGTCGACTCCGAATCCCTCTGACGATCAGATTCTCTCCTGGACCCTGGTGTGTGTACGCCCTGGCACTCAGATCCCGCAGGCCTGACCCTCCGCCTGCTCTGGGAGGTGCGGGGGGTTGCACTGGTCACTACAAGGAACAATAAGTGACAGGGTTAATCGCCATAACAATGGCTCCTCCACCCTTGGACTACCAAGGAATGCCAAGCCCAGCGCCTCCCTGGCAAGCTACAGCTGCACTTCACAAATTCTGCGGTGAGGCGGGGGAGGGGCAGGAGCAATGGAGGGGGCAGGTGTGGACGCACATGGGGGCTGCGGCTCACAGAGGTTACGGATTGCAGGGAAAGAGCACGCTTCGGAACAGCTTTCGGCAGCGAGTGGAAAGCACGGCCACTGGAATTCTTCATCCGGAGCATCTCAGAAAGCCAACGCCGGGCGTGTTTCTGCGGGTGCAGGGAAACACACTGCTCCCCGATGTGCCCGCCAGCGAGAGCAGCGGCTTTATAAACGCTACCCAGGCCCCGCTCCTAAGGGCTGGGGGACAGAAGGGCTAAAGAACTAGGGGCTTACCTCAGCAGCCAGGGTTCCTAGAGCATTGCCTTTGCACGTTCACACTCGTGGAGTGCCGCTGAGCCTGGGGAAGCTGCTGGAGAGCAGAGCCTACTGGGGCCATCCATGCACTGGACCCAAGGAGCCCGGGGGCCTCAGTTCCTTCTGTTACAGCCCAGACGCCTGCAAGTGGAAGGAGAGCCAGCCCACGAATACCCCCACCAGAGCCTCTGCATCGTCCCAGCTGGGGAGTGGGGTCCGAGCTGGCTGCACAGACC